TATTCATTTTTCAAAACAAACAGCCTCTTATTACAGGAGGACCCAATTGCCAAGTTCATTGGAAATTAAATATTTCAAGAAAGGCACGTTCATTTTCTTTGAAACTTTCAGGACTTTCTAATAAATAATAGATCTATCTATAGGCAAAAATTTCAGGTCAAAATTACTTGTTTTTAAGGTTTTTGGAAATACCCTGTCCCGAGTAAAAAATTCCGTAAAGCGGCCATAACTCTTCACTAATACGCCATGAGAACGAACGCTTCTAGGGTTTTCTTAGTCTCACTGAGACCTACCTGTAGCCAAAAGATGAAGCCGAAAGCTCGGAATCAGTTGAATATGTTCCCTCGTGAAATAAACTTATTGTTTGTAATGCTATAGATTTTTAAATATCTTTAAAAAATAACAATATTATGGTTTATTTTTTAGCAGTAGACAACAAACATACACATGCTTAGTATATAAGTATACTTCTGCATTGGTGATTGTGGACGTATAGATGATAGGGTGTTGATGTGGTTATGAGTGTGGAATTTAAAGATAAGCCCTACCCAAACCCACACTCATCCATATCCTGAATATTTCATACAATTTTGGCGTAATGATGCCGAGATTCAATTTGAGGAAGATCTTAAGTCAACTTATGGATAAGAGAAATGACAGAAATTCTTGTTTTAAGTCACATATATCACTTATTTAGCAAGCAGACCGATAGCATCTTTTATTTTTATTTCTTCACTAGTATACGCGAGGAAAAATATGTTAGTTGAGAGGAGACAAATTCATAAAACAACTACTATTTATTGTTGTGAATAAAATTTGAGTAAAGTTTTGGAATAGATACATAAACTAAATGATACCACAGTGTCAAGAGTCAAACACTAGAAGAAAACTTTATTATAATGTATAAAAATATATTTTTAATAAAAAACAACTATAGTATAAAAGAAAATCTGATTAACTTAACATCTTTCAACTTCAGATACATTCAAATTCAATCTACATATACTAAATAGTGCATTTAAAAATGGGTAATATAAATTCAATATTGTCTAAAACGGAAAAAAAGACAATAGATGAAGCAAGTATTGAACATCGACGAAATTTAGGATGCTTTACAATTGTATGGCTTGATGCCAATGAAAATGAAATTAACGACGACAATTTAAATACAAAAACTAAATTAGCTAATGTTGTGGTTAATATAAAAACATTTAACAATTCAAGGCAATGTATTGACTTTTTATCATCAATAGACGAAAATCAAAAAGTATTCCTTATCGTAAGTGGTCAATTAGGAGAACATATTGTGCCAGAAATTCATCATTTTCCACAAATAGAATTGATATATGTATTTTGTTTAAATATAAGCAAACATCGAATATGGGCTAATGAATACAAAAAAGTGGCTGGTGTATTTAATGATATAAGTTCAATTTGTGATAAATTAAAAAATGACACTTTTTCATCTACAAATGATTTATTGCCATTTAGTATTCTTGATAAAAATGATACTAACAAATTAGATCCATCATTTATGTGGTTTCAACTTCTCATTCATATTTTGTTGCATATGAGTCGTACAGATGAAGCAATACATGAAATGATCGATGAATGTCTAAAGAAATATACAGATGATGAAGAACAATTAAAAATTATTGACGAATTCAAGAATACCTATTCTCCTGAGAACGCAATTTGGTGGTACACCCGTGAATGTTTTTTTGTATGGAATGTTGAACAATGCATTAAGAACGCTAGACATCGATACTCTATTTAAATTAAGATTTTTTATAACCGATCTTCACAATCAATTACAATTATTACATTCAAAATTTATTCAATCAACATCCATAGATAAAATGACTGTATACAGAGGACAAGGTATGTCATGTGAACACTTCAATCAATTGCAAACTGGTGGTCTTCTATCAATGAATTATTTTATGTCTACAAGCACAGATAAAAATACAGCACTGAAATTCATTGAACAAGCACTATCAAAAACTAGTGAAAATCAGGCAGTTCTATTTGAAATGAACATTAATGTAAAAAATTCTATAAAACCATTTTATGATATATCACAATTAAGCTTTTATAAAGGTGAAAACGAAGTACTATTTTCAATGGCGACAGTATTTCGAATTAAATCAATTCAACAAACAGCAAATCGAACTTGGTATATTCATTTAATATTAGTTGAAGAAGAAGATACTGAATTGAAAATATTAACAGAACATATGAGAAAGGAAATAGATACAACAAATGATTTACTTGCATTAGGAACCTTGATGGCCAAAATGAGTGAATATAAAAAAGCGAAAACATATTATGAATATTTACTCAAAGACTTACCGTCAGATAAGTTACAAGTTCTAGCGCTATATCGGAACATCACTGCAGTCCACATAAGTCTAGACAACATCGATGAGGCAGCGAAATATCAGAATAAAGTATTTGAAATTCTATTAGAAATCTTGATGGAAAATTTCGGGGCCAATCGTGATGAAGTTAGGAATTTTATCAAGAAAACCAGCATTGATAAAATTTTGGAAATTGTCCAGGAAGATAATCACAATGAAATTTTGAATTCCATCAAGAAATCATTCGAAACTGAGTTAATACCCTTGCCCGAAAAGAATCCAGGCAATGTAGAGTCATCGAACAAAATCGAAGGTGATCAAATGATTGAACAACTACTGAAAGTTATGACATCCGTTGATCAATTACCAAAAGTTGTTCCGTCATGCAATAACATCGCATCTTTTCTCAACAACCAAGCCGACACTAATATCGATCAACTACTTGAGTTATCATTGCAAATCTTACCTGAAAATCATCAAAAACGTGTAACAATATACAACCAAATTGGAATAGTTCGTCAAAGCCAGGGCAACTATATTGAAGCCTTAGATTATTTTAATAAAGCATTTGAAATTCAAGTAAAATTGCTGCCTGAAAATCATCCAGATATTGTATGTACATACAATAACATCGGAGAAGTTTATAGAAGTCAAGATAACTACAATAAAGCATTGGAATATTTTAATAAAGCGCTTGAAATTCAAGTAAAATCATTGACTGAAAATCATCAAGACATTGCAAGAACGCACAAAAACATCGAAGAAGTTCGCAAATGTTTATAATATACAAGATTTTAAACAATTTGTGTTGCTTTGATTTCAATAATTGTTGTTCTAAATTTCGGGATATAATACTTTTAAATTTTAATCTTTTTCTTTTTAATTTTATTTATTCTTAAATTGTTTTTATCGGCTTGCATAATAAATGATACATTGTTATCATCAATATCAATAATCATTACAATAAATATGAGTTTTAATTGGTTTTGATCATATGTATTTAAAATACAACTATCATATAGACTAACCATTTTCGTTTTTTTATATTGAATAGATGAAACAAACTTGATTTAAATATGGCTACGAGCATCGAGTGTGATTGTAGGTATGAATAGGTACGAGTGTACATGGGCGTGTTGGTAATGGTCTGCGAAAAAGAGTAGATTGACATCCACACTGACACCTCACATCCGTATTTTCTGTGAAATGTTCAAGTTAAATTGGTTTGATTAGTATCGTCAAAAGAACGACTTCTCAAAATTCAATGATGCATCATCGACGAATATATCACTCATATAAAAACGTATATAACTCGTTCAATAGAAAGAAAAATATTAGATATGAACGAATAGAGTATTTC